AAGTTAAGCCAATTTTTTAGCTTTGATTTCTTGAAATTTTTATGGATGGAAGTGTGAATACGTGGATGAATGATGTTGGAATATAATTAATATTCAAAGCCCACCGAAATTTGGAGAAAAACGGGATATCGCTGGTGAAAAATTTGAAAAAATCTGGAGCGAAGCCGAGTCATTGCTTCTGTGTGCGTTTGTAATTGAGGTTTAAATTTATGTTAAGTGTATTAATCTAATTGGTTTCTTTTTTAGAGTAGTAAGCCTAGTTTTCCTATTTTTTAAGCACTAAACGAATCAATAGGATGGGTTCTGTCTCTTTCCCTTTCAACTCCAACAGATTCTTCACACCGAGTCGACGCTTTTCCGAATGCTAGTCTCTCCAGTTTTCACTCTCTGTCTTCTGGTACTTCCTCTAGTTTCATAGCCACCAAATTTGTAATATTAAAATCTACTTTTTGGTATTTGTATGCATTGAATTAATCTTATTGGACGGCTAGTTATTTATATGTTTTTGAATTGGGTTACGTTAATTTGTAAAAGTTATGAATGAAATGTATGTAGTGTTGCTGAAAATATTAANATTTGTATACATTGAATTAATTTTACTGGACGGCTAGTTATTTATATGTTTTTAAATTGGGTTACGTTAATTTATAAAAGTTGCGAATGAAATGTTATTAGTTGTATTTACGTAGTATTGCTATAAATATTAAAAAAGTTAATAATGGTAAGGAACCGAACTAAACCGAATGGAATCAAACTCGAACGGTTCCATAATTATATTTGCACCCGACCGTTCTATTTATTAAATACCCGAAAGTTTTGGGTGAAGAGAAACGAACCAAACCAATCCGCGGACAGCCATATCAGATTCCAATATCTGATCACTGGGGATGTGGGCCTCGAACAGATCAGAGATGAAATTCACACCAACGGTTCCATTTATTAAATACCCGAAAGTTTTGGGTCGGTTCGGTTTGGTAACTGAACCGATCCACGGATAGCCATATCAAATTCCAATATCTTATCACTGGGGATGCGGGCAGCGAACAGATCCTAGATGACATTCATCTGTTCATCATTGTGCCTGCACAGAAGAACGAATTCAGGTCGACCAAGGAATCCCCATATTCCGACCCTGAATTCAGATAGTGGAAATTTATCTGTTCACCATTTCATTTCTTGAAATTCTTTTGGATGGAAGTGTGAATTCGTGGATGAATGATGTTGGAATATAATTAATATTCAAAGCCCACTGAAATTTGGCGAAAAATAGGATGATATTGATGAAAGATTGAAAAAATCGTGAGCGAAGCCGGGTCATTGTGTCTATATGTGTATGTAATTGAATGGAGTGGGTTTTTGGACGCATAAATTACGGTGATTAGAGGTTTAAATTTATGTTAAGTGTATTAATCTAATTGGTTTCTTTTTTAGAGTAATGAGCCTAATTTCTCGATTTTTTAAGCACTAAACGAATCAACAGGATGGGGCTCCGTCTCCTACCCTTTCAACTCCAACAGATTCTTCACACCGAGTCGATGCCTTTCCGAATGCCGATGTCTCTAGTCTCCGTCTTCTGGTACTTCCTCTAGTTTCATAGCCACCAAATTTGTAATATTAATAGCTATTTTTTGGTATTTGTATGCATTAAGTTAATCTTATTGGACGACTAGTTATTTGTATATTTTTGAATTGGGCTACGTTGAAAATGGAATGGAACCGACCCAAAGACAGCCTATCAGATTCCAATATCTGATCACTGGGATGCGGGCCTCGAACAGATCCGAGATGAAATTCATCTGTTGATCATTGTCTTCTTCTCATCCACTGCCAGCACAGAAGAAGGAATTCGGGTCGACCAAGGAATCCCCATATTCCGACCTGGATTCGGATTGAAAGTGAAACTGAAAGTGGAAATTCATCTGTTCACCATTTCATTACTTGAAATTTTTTTGGATGGAAGTGTGAATTCGTGGAT